ACCCTCAGCATTTGCGGTCACTACTCTGGACGAAAAGGCTCACTGACTCCTATTGCACAACGAACTCAGAATCAGGCCCTACGCTGCTTTAAACCACACCAAATATACTGTGTTTCTTAATCCAAACACAGGCTGCTTCAGGTGACAAGCATATTTCATCGTTGCCAACGGCTGGAAGAGGTGGTCCACCAAGACCTGCTTTGTGGAGCAAGGAGTCTGCGCTTCGAAGCTCCTGGCCCTACAAACCCTAAACCCCAAACCCTAAACCCAAAACCCTAAACATAAGCCTAAACCTTATTGAAACGCCTCTGAAGCAGAAGCCCCGACCTCCCTAAACCTTAGCCCCGAGAACCCAAGTCAATCCCTAAGCTCGAAAGCCGGACGTCCACAAAAAGCAAGGTTGTTATTTTTGTTACCAACAATTCTTACTACTCCATTCGCATAATTATTCATATTGTTATTCTTACTAACTACGCTAATTATTAATTTGCATAATTATTCATATTATTGTTATCATTTGTTATCAATAGCCTTATATGCAGGCCTCTTTGTTCTCAAGCTCACGCCAATCAAAGCCCTTTCCAGAGCCGCGTCGGCAGAGGAAGAAGCCGTCTCGAGCCTTACAAAACGCGTGGGTTTAGAGTCTAGGGGTTATTACGGGTTTAGAGTTTAGGGCCTAGGGTTTAGGGTTTAGGGGTTAGTTGTTGTTTTTTGACGGCCCCCTTTTCTCTCAGGAAACCCCTCAGGTGGAAAGCCATGCTGGCTGAGGCTGTTGAGGGGCAGGATAGCAAACCAACACAACACCCACATGCATCACCTAAACCTCCTGCAGTCCTCTGGGCCTTGACGGCAGGGTTTAGGGGTTGGGATTTAGGGGTTAGAGTTTAGGGTGGTTTAGGAACAGATTCTAGGGCCCCCTCTGCGTCCGTTGTCGGCAAGGCACATTTATCTGCGCGAAATGGACGATGTCAGGTTGCTTCGTGCCCTTCTCCAGTTCGGCAAAGCTGGCTGCAACGGCCAGCTGCGACAGATGGGCAGTGCCGTTCCTCACCTGCTAAGTACACAGTGAATACTATCAACCGTAGCTGCTTGTACCAAAGAGGAGCCCCAGCTACCCAATCATCCTCCCCTTCCACAAGAAAAAGCGCTGGACGTCGAATTCTTAAGGATGTTCTGCCTGTTCCAGGGCAGGGTTGCTCGGAGTACCCGGCTCGTAGTGTGGCTCCAAGCCCTGTGACTGCAGAAGTCCACTCTTGATGGTGTACAGAAGGGGCGAGTAGAATGCAGAATGCCGCAGCGCGGTGATGCGGATAGGAGTCAAGGCCATGGCAAGTTTGAGAAGTAATTGCAAAGACGCTTACTTGTCAAGGCCAGAAGAGATCTTCACTGCAGGTCATGCGACGATGGCGTGCCCAAATGTCCAGCTGCTAACTGAAGTTCTGCTCGCAGGCTCCACTGCCAACTGGATAAACTAGACGTGCAGCTGCAACAGCTACAGAGTCAAACTTCGCGGATGCGAAGACTGCGAGCCCATGACGGAAGCCAACCAAAGAGAACCAAGCTGGACATCGGCGGAAGGGAACCAATTGCAGTAATAATAATTGTGATAGTAATAATGATGATAAAAACAGTAGCAATAATAATAGTAGTAGCACTACTACTACCAATAATAATAACAATAATAATGATAATAATAAAATAATACTGATAGCAACAATAACAGTACTTAACAATAGTAGTATTAATCATAGTCAGCCTCCTGAGACACTCAAGAGTGAAGCCCCCAGGGCCGGTGCTGGAGCTGCTGAAGGCCGCTGGCGTTGTAGGCCACGAAGGCCGCGGCGGCGCCTGACACCTGCGCCGGATAAAGATGTCGCTGCCTTCTGAAGAAAATAGCTTGGTAACAACAACATTAAAACAAAAATACTAATAGTAATAATAACTAATGATAAAAACATGAAAACAGCACAAATACTAATACTAATAATAACTAATAGTGAGAATAAGAGTAACAACAAGTAGTCATCCTGCCTTCAACCCCGCCCTGGCGCGCAGATGCACCGGGCTCAAGCTGGTGTGCTGCGTGATGTTCAGCTCATGACCTGCGGCCCCAAGGCGCCGTCAAGCCGGCTTAGGGCTTAGGGTTTCAGGGTTTAGGGCAGTTTAGGGTTTAGGGGTTTGGGGTTCAGGGTTGAGGGCTTAGGGCTTAAGGTTTAGGGTGTAGGGTTTAGGACTTAGAGTCCCATGAAAAAGCCGCGTGCAGCTTGGCAGACCCGGCACAACATCTCGCCTAAGAGCTTCAAGCTCGCAGTGCCCCCTGGGAGCAGCAGGGCTGTCTTTGCAGCCATGGACACCAACGGTGTAAGTCCACCTGCAAGCCGGAAAGAGGCTAACCATGCTCCCCACGATTTCTCAGATGGCAACTACAGTAAGAAGGGGCACAGACTTGAGAAAAGTCCACTCCGATTTTTTGTCAAGCAGTCACTCGGCAAGGAATAGTCCACATGCTCGGCTCACTGTTAATTCAGCAAGCCCCGTCAGAGCCAGATAGTGTCAATTCAGCAGGCGTGGCACCATGAAACTTCAATCAACAAGCATCCTGGAGTTCTGAGATAGACCTGAAAAAAAAAGGCAAAATCTTAGCAGCACTTCGAAGATGTTTTGCCCAAAATACCTGCATTCTGCAGGACAATCGCCACAGATGTGGTCAAAATGACAAGTCACATCCGGTGAAAGATCACTCGGTGAGTGAGTCCGAGGCATTTCGCCCTCTTTCAAGGCACGGCGTCTCAAGCGGGAGCCGGAGCCGGTTGCGCTTGGGCCTGAGCCTGCGCCTTCTGTGCCACCTCATCTTGCAGTAGGGTTTAGGGTTTAGGGTTTGGGGTTTGGGGTTTAGGGTCCCATGTGGGCTGCGTTGAGTCAGTGCTCAAGAAGAGCCGTACGAATCAATCAAGGCATGAAGCAAGATGTCAGACATCCCTGAAGCCTGGCTTTACCAAGTCTTAGTGCGGTTCAGTCACGGGCAAGAACAGCTTGAACTCAGGAGGGAGTTCCTCCTCGCTGTACAAGCGGTCGCTGAAGTAGATGCGGCGGATGCCTGGCGCTCCAGGAATCGTTTCTGAGAGCTTCCCCGTGGCTCGATGCGCTCGCTCATGTCAGGCATGCAGGGTTTAGGGTTTAGGGTTTAGGGTTCTGAAGGACGAAATCAGCCAAAGAGACGGCAATTTGCATGCAGCTGCACGCGGAGGGTCTCGATGTAGTTGGTGCCGTAGGCACGGCGCGTGAAGTCAGACAAGTTGAACTGGATCCTCAGTCAGCTGATGTGCTGTTGGGCCTTTTAAGGCGAACACAAGCAAAAATCACTCTACATAACGATATAGTATAGTATAGTGTAATATAGTATAATATAGTGTAATATAGCATAATATAGTATAGTATAGTCTAGTCTTGTCTAGTATAGTATGGTATAGTCTGTTGAGGCAAGCATCTGATTCCAACCTGAGTTCAAGGCAGATCGTGTGCAGACGCACCACCCAAACATATTGCAAATGCACTACCAAAACATTGCGATGCAAAGCAGCCTTCATCCAGCCTCATGGGCATTGTGCAAATGAAGGGCTTCACCCTGACGGGGATGCTCACAACTCTTCGTTGCAAACCGCTACTTTAGGGTTGTAATTGAAATTGCATTTCTCCCAGTTCCCCCGACCTGGTGGTGCTTTGGTAATTCGAAGCACGGAAGCGTCGCCGCACCTCCTTGTCGTCCAACACCGTCACCTCGTCACGCAAACGCAGGAACCATGAAAGGTCACATGGACGCATAGCTCTGTGCTCTAGGCCTCAAAGGTGAAGTACTTCTTCAGGTTCTTGATAATCATGACCTCAAGCCATTCTAAACCCCAAACCCGACACCCCCATGAATCAGAGCGGAGTCAAGCCCCCCGACGCCTATGAATCTTACACCTTCACACTGAGCTCGGCTGCAGGCGTCCGACAGAACCGGACGCGTCTCATTACTCCGAGGTGCCAAGAAAGGCAGCTTGATGCCCAAGGTCTTCGAAGGATCGGCGGGGCAGGTGATGTAAGTGGTGCTCACATTGGTGCCCATGATCTCCTGCGATGAAGATGCCGTCTTAACAAGCAGCTCACCTATTTACATCAGGAGTGTAAGACAAGGACGCGCACACCGCTCCAACACGCTTGATTGGATGTCAGAGTCAGTGAGACGCTTGATGTGCCCATTGCGGACCTGGCTGTCGCTGGTTGAATCATCTGATGCGCATAAGCAGCAGGTTACCCACACTCACATCACTCAGACTTCCGCCATGCTCTGCTCACATCTAGACTGCTGTGCCCTTCTTCTGGCGCCTTCTTGTCCCAAATCTGAAGTGGCTTGCTGCCGATGGAGTAGAGGATTGACAGGAAGCCCGACTGGTACGTGTTCTTGAACCTCGAGGTTTCGGGATGCTGTTTTGTTACACGCCCCTTCTCCCGTTTTCCGTCTCGCAGCGTCAGAAAGCCGGTTTAGGGATGTTTAGGGTTTAGGGACCGTACAACTCTTACTAGTACTATTACTCATACTATTATTACTATTGACGGTTACGATTATGAACTAGTACTGTTTGACATTACTCTTCTCATTATTCTAGTGTTATTGTTATTGTTGTTACTGTCATGATCAGTCCTTTCATTATCACCTTTTACCAAGCTTTATCAGTATTCCTGCTCCGAGTTCCCGGCATTTTGGTGACACCAGTGCAACGCTCAAGGCGCGGTTGGTCCCCGGGCTGCTTTTTCTCAACTTTTGAGCCGCTCTTGACGGAAGAGAGCAGGTTAAGAGGAAGGAGTTCTTTAGGGCTTTAGGGGTTTTTTGAAATGTAGGGTTTTGGGTTTAGGGCTTATGGGGTTTAGGGTTTTAGGGTTTGGGGTTTTGGAGTGTAGGGGCTCAGGGTTTAGCGTTTTAGGGTTCAGGGCTTTAGTTTTTCAGGGTTTAGGGTTTTCGACTCGCACGCTCGCACAGGCAGGCACGACGCGATAGTCCAGCACTCACACTGAGGAAGCTGCTATAGGGTTTTAGGGTTTAGGATGTTTAGGGCACATGCGGTTGGTGGTCCGGAGCGTGGCATCGGGTTTCTAAAGTGAAGGTTGACGGTAGCAAGCATCATAATCACAAGAAGAGAAACACAGCAGTAGTAGTAGTAGTAGTAGTAGCAGTAGTAGCAGTAGTAGCAGTAGCAGTAGCAGTAGCAGTAGCAGCAGTAGCAGTAGCAGTAGTAGTAGTAGTCGTCGTCGTCGTAGTAGCAGTGACCGCTGATAGTAGAAATAGTACAGTACCAGCAATAGTAAATGTAATAACACGAAAAGTCGTAGTAGCCATCGCAATAATATAACAATTAATAATAATAATGATAATAATGATAATAATAATAATCGTAATAATAATAATAATAGTAACAGCAACAACAAAAATAACAATTCCGAATAACATTAGCTATCGTAGTAGCAGTACTAACAACAGCAACCACAACAACAGCAGCCAGTGCAAGTATTCCAACACTAGAAGGAAAATAGTAACATCAATGAGACTAATCATCATCATCATCATCATCATCAGGAGCTTCTGCACGGGAAAACTCTCAGATTCTCGTTTCCAGCCTGAAAATCTCGCTGCGGAGGGTGCGGAAAAGCCGAAGTGAAGATCCTCACGTTTAGGGTTTAGGGTTTAGGGTTTCCGGGCTTCGATGTCACATCTGGATGTTAGCATCGCTGCCTCTATGAGGCTTACGTCCACCGTGGCACCTGGGGCCAGGCAGAAAGGCGGATCTGCGATGTCTATGATTTTGGGATGACGAATCTGAAGGCAAATGAGGTGGAAGCTCTTCATGGCCATGGTGAAAACCGCATTCTCGATCCATGGCAGTACCACCTCACGGCAAAAGATCTTAACTCGCACCCGTGAAGTCAAAAAAGCAAGGAACCCCCATTCCTAACAAAGACCCTCAGTAGGATCCTAAAATTCGGACTCCACGAAACGTGCCCGATGAAGTCCCATAAAAAACGCTAAACAGCAAACCCACAAAGCCCAATAAGACCTCTCCTAGGGCCAAAGCGAACCCCCACTCTTAGAAACCCTGTTCTTGAACAGCTCTAAGGGCCTTGCTCCAAAGACCCTTATAAGACTGTAACTATACTATCATAAAGTATAGTATGGCATAGTTTAGTACACTATACTATAGTATACTATATTAAACTAGACCATACTATACCATACTGTACTATACCATACCATAGCATAGGGTACCGTACCATACTATACCGTACCGTACCATTACCATACCATACCGTCCCGTACCATACCGCACCGTACCATACAGTACCATACCGTACCATACCATACCGTACGGTACGATAATACTATGCTAATGCTAGCCTAATCTTCAGAGAATCGCACCTGGAGCTCAGGCACAGCGGGCAGGGAAACAGCACCGAGTCCAAGATCGGACCGCAAGAAGCGTACCACCTTTGAGAGCTTGTTAGGGCTTTTTGGTGGTTTTAGGGCCTTGAGGGTTTAGGTTTAGGGCTTTGAAGGCATTTCGGTGGCTTCACGGCTTTGAGGGTTCATGGTTTAGGGCTTGAAGGACTTTAAGGTTTTTAGGGTGCAGGGTTCAGGGGTTTTAGGCTTTAGGAGTATGCTCAGGGTTCAGGGCTTTAGGGGCTTTTAGGGCTTGTGGCTTCAGGATTACAGGGCCACGTGCACGGAAATGTGCATGACAACCTTGGACCTTGCTTCGTTGGTGCTCACTAGATTAAATCCTAATTGAGGGTTAAGGGTTAAGGGTTTAGGGGTTTAGGGGTTTAGGGGTTTAGGAGTTTAGGGGTTAGGGTTTAGGGTTTAGGGGTTTAGGGCCTTGTTGAATTCGACGTCGTTGTCCACATGTCCAACCTGCACAGACCGTGTTCGAGCAGGCTCTGCACTGTGGTATTGCGAAACTTCATGGGGCCCGCGCCTCTCGCAGAAAAGATCGAAACACATGGCCCACAGGCCCCTGCGCACTAGATCGCGTGGCAAACCCTGAAAGCCCGAAACTATAAAGGCTATTGTAATACTGCGATGCCATAATGTAAGCCACAATAGTGTGGCTTTTTTTGGACTTTCATACTCTCTAATTAAACGAAGCTTCCAATCTTCTGCCGTCCTTCCAGAAGGTCTTCTCCAGATCGATGGCGCCATCGACAGAGGGAGGTTGGAGTGCCTGCCAGGGAGAGTGCGCAGCTCCCCGGTGCAGGAGCCTTTGTTAAGAAAGATAGCTTGAGGTCCGTGCGGCGGCCGGCTTGAGATATGGTTGAACTTTTTGCTTGAGTTCCCGAGAAACCTGGACGTACGGACTGGAGTGGGACAAGAGCATGGCAAAAACACCAAAGTTTCCGTTCTGTCCTAGCCTCTGAAGAAAGCGCAGCAAGCGCGGCAGAAACCTGTACGGGTCTCTGGAACTTGCGACCTTGCTATTTACAGAAGGCTGACAAAAGTTCGTCCGAAACAGCCTTGCTGCACAGCACCTTCGAAGCAAAGTCATTCACTAAAGCCTGAGTCAATCCAAAGCCGGCCAACTCAGCCTACTCAAATGCAAGGAACGACAGAAGGCAAGGACTCGTATTCCTTGCTCCGCAATCTTCAAGACGTCGCATGCTGGAGACCTGAACCATCTAGGGCGCAACGCCTGCGATGGAAACGTCGGGCTCTGAAAAACTTGCGATCTGGTAAGATGCGGTCCTTCCATGGAAGTCCAATTGCGTGATGTCCGGGGTTAACCTAACAGAAAGTGCAAAGGGACACCCCTTTCTGGGAAACCCCGCGTACCTGAGGCCCACGCTCGCATGTGGTTGAAGCTTTGCCTGGAAATCCATCCACCGAGGGCACCTGAAAACAATTGTTTGCCCGCCCTGCCCCCCCCCCCCCCCCCAACTTGCGACCCAATGATGTCATGGAGCCTGCATGCCAAGTTTGATCACTGATGCCGAAGATGCAATAGCCATCGTACATGGGTGAATTTGTCCAACCTGAAGCAGGCAAGCTTCAATGCTTAATGATTCCTTATAGTTAGGATTGCAGTACCATGGAAGGAGCCCTTTAAAAACCCATACCCTGATTCAGCCGGCAAACACCGAAAAGAACGCCTCGAGTGACGTGTTCACGAGGCAACGAATTCCAATGTCCTCCCGGTGAGTCCGAGCACACGTACAGCTCATCCCAAAACATGGAGCACACATGCGCACACTGTGCATTCAAGCTCAGTCCGCTTGCAAACCAATCTTGAGCTGGCTCGCGTCTGCAAAAGCCTCTGTCAGCAGAAGCTCCTCAACGGCGAGCCCTGGCAGCAAAGAGTTGCATGTTCATCCATAAAAGTAGGCCTCATGGAAATGCAACAGGCCACCTTGACAGCTTGCGGCGGTCACATTGATTGCGAAGCCAAGTCG